CACACCTGGGGGGTGTTTGGGTACACCTGGGCACACCTGGGGACAGGTACGGGGGTGCCAGATCGCCGACGTGCTGATCCGGAAAACGCGGAGACTGTCCCTGTTCCAGCAGGGACCCTTCAGGTACACCTGGGGACAGGTGTGACACACCTGGGGTACACCTGGGCACACCTGGGCACACCTGGGGACAGGTGTGACACACCTGGGGGGTGTTTGGGCACACCTGGGCACACCTGGGGACAGGTACGGGGGTGCCAGATCGCCGACGTGCTGATCCGGAAAACCCGGAGACTGTCCCTGTTCCAGCAGGGACCCTTCAGGTACACCTGGGCACACCTGGGGACAGGTGTGATACACCTGGGGTACACCTGGGTACACCTGGGAACACCTGGAGACACCTGGGGACACCTGGGCACACCTGGGGTACACCTGGGGATAGGTGTGATACACCTGTTAGAGGTTGTACAGGTGAGACAGGTGCCACAGGTGTTATCACAGGTGTCAGGTGACACAGGTGCCACAGGTAACAGGTGTCACAGGTGACACAGTTGTTACCACAGGTGTCAGGTGACACAGGTGCCACAGGTAACAGGTGTCACAGGTGTCACAGGTGACACCCAGGTGTATTAACAGGAACCGCACCCTGGTGGTCGCCATCGTGTTCCAGGTGTTGTAAATGATATCACAGGTGTAACTCAGGTGTATCTCAGGTGTCACAGGTGTAACTCAGGTGTAACTCAGGTGTATCTCAGGTGTCACAGGTGTAACTCAGGTGTATCTCAGGTGTCACAGGTATTACAGGTGTAACTCAGGTGTATCTCAGGTGTAACACAGGTGTCACAGGTGTATCTCAGGTGTTATGTCAGGTGTCACAGGTATTACAGGTGTAACTCAGGTGTATCTCAGGTGTCACAGGTGTTCCAGGTGTAACTCAGGTGTATCTCAGATGTCAGAGGTATTACAGGTGTAACTCAGGTGTATCTCAGGTGTAACTCAGGTGTATCTCAGGTGTCACAGGTATTACAGGTGTAACTCAGGTGACACAGGTGACACTCAGGTGTGTTTTCAGGAACCGCACCCTGGTGGTCGCCATCGTGTTCCAGGTGTTATAAATGATATCACAGGTGTATCTCAGGTGTATCTCAGGTGTAACTCAGGTGTATCTCAGGTGTCACAGGTGTAACTCAGGTGTAACTCAGGTGTATCTCAGGTGTCACAGGTGTGTAACTCAGGTGTATCTCAGGTGTCACAGGTATTACAGGTGTATCTCAGGTGTATCTCAGGTGTTATCTCAGGTGTATCTCAGGTGTCACAGGTATTACAGGTGTATCTCAGGTGTAACACAGGTGACACTCAGGTGTAACTCAGGTGTATCTCAGGTGTATCTCAGGTGTAACTCAGGTGTATTAACAGGAACCGCACCCTGGTGGTCGCCATCGTGTTCCAGGTGTGCATCGGCTGCTTCCTCTGCTACTGCCCGGGGATGCCCAACATCTTCAACTTCATGCCCATCAGGTGAGCGCACCTGGGAGCCCCGAAACACACCTGGGGAGCCACAAAACACACCTGGGACCCCGAAATACACCTGGGGACACCTAAAATACACCTGGGGAGCCCCAAAACACACCTGGGGACACCTAAACACACCTGGGGAGCCCTAAAACACACCTGGGACCCCGAAATACACCTGGGGAGCCCTAAAACACACCTGGGGACACCTAAAATACACCTGGGGACACCTAAAATACACCTGGAGAGCCCCAAAACGCACCTGGGAGTCCTAAAATACACCTGGGCACACCTGGGGGCACTTGGGGCACACCTGGGGGCACACCTGAGCACAGCTGAGCACACCTGAGCACACCTGAGCACACCTGAGCAGGTGTCGGCCCCGCCCAGGTTCCAGTGGTGGTTGGTGCCGATGCCCTTCGGGCTCCTCATCCTCATCTACGACGAGATCCGGAAACTCGGAGTGCGGAGACACCCGGGCAGTGAGTGACACACCTGGGCACACCTGGGCACACCTGGGCACACCTGGGGACAC